AATCTAGATATTAGTAAAGTAGAAACTATTAAATATTATATTACTACCTAGATTAGACTTAAAAGTCCTTATTTAGAGACTAGTAACTATATATAGGATCTTAGTACCTTTAATATACTACTTTAAGAGGATATTAACTTATACTTTAGTGTTAAGGATTACTAAGATTAAAAAGCCTTTATTTAACTAATTAACACTTAATATTTAGACCTTTAGTTATAAGTATATATTTAAAATAACTAAAGTTAGTACTTTTACTATAGGCTTTATATTTTATACTTTATTAATTTTAATTAATATTAAACACTTACTATTAATTAAGGTATTATACTTATTTAGTAGTTCTTTAATATCTTTTTACTACTAAGCTATTTCTTTAATATTAATTAAGGACTTTAGGGCCTTAATCTAAACACCTTTAGTATTAATATACTTTTAATTATATAAGGTAGTACTTATAGCTATATTAAACTCTAGCTAGACTTTTTTAAGAAGTCTAATAAGAAGTAAGACTAAAGCGTCTAGCTTTTTATTAGCTAACTTCCTTACCTCTTAATATAGATTAAGGCCTTAAGCTTACTTAGAGGCTATAACTTCTTTTAATTTATTAGGCTTCTTTTTACTTATATATAGTTTATAGTCTTTAAGGGTAGTTATAGGTTTTATAGGCTTTAGTTATAGTAAAATAGTTATATTTATTTTAGTAAATAAGGACACCTAATCTAGATTATAATTATAGTTACTATTATTATTAACTTTTATAATCTTTTTATTTTTTAAAGTAAATAAAATAGTTTTCTTCTTAATTAGCTAAGGCCTAACTAACTTCTTTATACTATATACCTCTTATAATTTATTCTAAGTATGTTTATCCTAGCTAGTATAGTTCTTAAGAGGCCTACCTTATTACACTATAAAGATATTAGCGTATTCTTACTTTTTATTTTCTAGTTATACTATATATAGGTACCTAATATTACTTATTAGTGTTATAGATAGTAAATCTAAGGTGCTTTACTAAGGGTATCTAACTTATTAATTTAGAATACGCTTTACTAAAAACTTATAGTCTTTATTAGTAAATATATTTATAATATAAAAAAGTAAGGTAACTTAATTAGTAACTCTACTTTATTAGCTATCTTTAATTACTAGAAATAGTATGTTATTTATTAGACTTTACTTATCTTACTTCTTATAATACTAAGCTCTTTAGACTAAAATTATAAGATATATATTCTTATTAAAGGTGTATTACTAATAATCTTAAATAAATTAATACTTATTAGACTAGTAGTACTAATATTTATCCCTTAGTCTTAATACTTTTACTTAATCTAGTTATACTATACTAACCTTAAACACTTAAGTAGACCCCCTTAGCTAGATAGAATTCTAATATATCTTAAGTTTACTTATACTATTAGTAAGGTCTTAATTAGTATTACTTAGAACTAGTTAGTTAACTTAGACGTTAATAGTTAATTATCTTAGTTACTAGTAATCTTAGTACTAATAAGTAAAGTTTCTTTAGGACTATTACTAAAGTAGTTAAGTTATAAAGGTACTATTAGCCTTACTATTAGTAAATAGAGGCCTATACTCCTTTTTATAAGTAATTATATTAAGGAGTCTGCTTTTAAACGTTATATACTTTATTAATTAAATAAAGGCTAAAAGGCTAATCCTTATCTTATTTACTACCTTTTTTATAGTCTTAGTATTAAATTACTTATATATAGTCTTAATTAAGCTTTTATTAGAAATTATATAAAGGCCTTATTACTTTACCTTAGTAATTATATTATTAACACTAGTAAAAAGTGCCTTAGCTGGGTATAGGTCTAAGCTAAAGATTAGTAATCCCCTTATAACCTACTTAATTTATTTTTTCTTATTAAGGAATTAATTAATATCTTATTTTTTATACTCCTTTAAGAGATAGGCCTTAGCCTAGACCTAAGGTAAGTCCTTAATTATATCTTTTACTAAAGTTTAATAATCTCCCCTTATATAGTAAGCTACTAATATACCTCTTAATTAGTCTAGTACTTATATAAGCTTTTATTAATCCTTATATTTTTTTAAGAAGTTAATAAAATTATTTTTAAAAAAAACTATAGTACTACTTTAGCCTAAAAAAAGTATCTTAAAAAAGTTTAAGTTCTCTCCTTAGTTAAAGGCTATATCTATTATTACTTATAAGACTTTAGGCTAAATCTAGGTAGTAAAAGTAATAAGGAAGGTATTTATAGAAGGTTTAAGATCTTAAGAGATAGAGAGAGGTGTCTATTTCTAATTAAGTACTATAAGTAAAGGATTAAAAGTGTTACTACTCTCTTTGTCCTTAGAAGGATTAATCCCTTTTAGCTCTTAATACTTAGTAAAGGCTAGTCTTCTTACTAAAGTAGTGTTTAGAGTTAAGCCTAAGGTATACTTAAAAGCAGCCTCTTAAGAAAAAGTAGTATAGTTATTACTTATTATATTAGTTAGTAGTTATTTAGTATATAACTTATTAATTAAGTTAAAGATTTTAATAATTATATTCTAATTTAAACTTTTTAAGATTTTTCTTAAAAGTACTAAAGTAACTTATCTTATTATCTAAGCTAAGGCTACACCCCTAATTAGTAGAATTTATATAATTATCCTTAGCCTTAGCTAAACTTATTAACTAACTTTTAATAGAGAGGGTTTTTTAATTTATTATAATTTCTTTATAAAGTTATAATAAGTGTTTAAATTAGTATACTTATAAGAAGTCTTAAGGCTAATAACTTTATATCTCTAGATTAAGTAATTCTTAAGGCGCTATTTTATATTAATTAACTATAAGTAACTAATTATAATAGACTACCTTACTTATAAAGACCTTTAAGAGCTTTATCTAGCTCCTTTAGTATTTTTATAATCTATTTTAGTTATTATTATAAATTAGTAACCTTTAAGGTTTTAACTTATTATCTTAGTTTTATAATTAAGTAATTTCTATTATCTAAGTTACTAATCTATTACTTTATTATCTTATTATCTTTTTAAGGTTTTCCTTATTTCCTTAATTAGTTACTTCTTATAATCTTATTATCTTATTATTATTACTTTTATAATAACTTACTTAGTGTGCTTAACTAGATATCTCTTTAATTAGTTTAAACCTATAGTTAATCTTCTAGAAGGGGAGACTATTAAAAGCGCGTAAGGTATAAAGGACTCTTATAGTATAGTAACTATATAGAACACTATAACTACTAAAAGTAATATAAGATTCCTTACTAATTAGTATATAAATTATATTAATTTATCTAGAATTAATATTAATTATAAGTGTTAAACTATAGGATTAAGTATAATTATACCCTAATTAGGTAGGTAATTACTCCTAATTATCTTATGTTATTATAATTAAAGGTAAATTATAGAGAGGCTTTAGTTTAATTAGAAGGTAGGTATAAGTATAAGGGATAAATTTAGCGTGTCTATCTCTAAACCTATTAATACTAACTTATATCTTTATACTTAATTAGGATTAGAATCTTCTAATTAGTCTGTATACTACCTGATTGGCCTGTATACTATCTTGCTCTAGGCTGATTGCCTTACCCTGCTCTAATACAGATATATAGTTATATTAAAAGAAAAAAGTCTACCTATAACTTAATAGTACCTTTGCTACTATAGAGGATATAATCTAGGCCTAAAATCTAGATACTAGTCATATAGATAGTCTAGATAAATCTAAGGCATCTAAATTACCCAGTGAGGCCGAAATTTGCATATGGGTGGGCGGCAGAGATATTGAAATAAGTGGTGATGGTAGCTCGGATGTGGGGGTGGCTCGGATATAGGGTGGGGGAGTTACCTTTTCCTTACCAGGCCTACAACTTGCTCTTTTCACAAATCAGTGTATAAGCCCGAGGAAGAGACTCTAGCAAGTCTTTTTTAATGTCTCCAACTGTCTTGACTCCTGCCACATTCATCAAAATATCCAAGTCGGCCAACAGCCCCCTGAGCACGTGTCTCACTCCGTGCTCCCCCATTATACTCAATCCCCAAATCCACAACCTACCGATGAAGACAAATTTGGCACCCAATGCCAGGGCTTTCACGATATCTGCTGCGCCCCTCACCCCGCTGTCGAATGTGACAACGATCCGGTCCCCAACCTTATCCGCAATCTTTCCAAGCGCAGCCAGACTTGCAATAGCCCCGTCAACCTGATGTCCCGCATGGTTGCTCACAACGATTCCCTCGAACCCCAGATCCGCCGCCTTCTCTGCGTCGTCAACCCTCTGTATCCCCTTGATCAAGAACAGTTTACCGCCGCTGATCCGCTGCCATTGGTCTCGCGCCCATATGGCCTTGTCCCAGGACCATGCGCGGCCGTGCCAGATGCTGTCGATCCACAATGCTGCCGCCCTCTCGGGCTCCTTCTGCAGATTGATGCCCTTCTCTTCAAGGTGCTTCTGAAACACGGGGTCAGTCAATCCCAGCTCGGCACCGATGCCGCGGTAGAAAGCATAGTTCGATGTGGCGACGTCATCGTGTCGCCATCCCAATTGCCAAGTATCCGTCGTAAAAATGCAGGCCGTAAAACCAGACTCGTGTGCCCTCGTCAAAAGCGATATAGTGAGCTCATCGTCATGAGGCATGTAGAGCTGGAAGAACCGCGGGCCTTCTGGGATCTTGGACTTGTCCGCCGACTGCAGCTCAATCGTGGATTCACGCCCGGCGTCGTTAGCTTGAGCAACTTCCTCAGTGGGGTAGGAACCGGCCGTCGATAGATAGTACGGGAAACCCAGCTCCCCGGCTACCTTCGCCACGGGTAGTTCACCTTGCGGGTGATAGATCTTGTTGATGCCTATAGGTGCAATACCAAACGGTGCGGAGACTTCGTGCCCGAATATCGTTGTGCGAGTTGATCGCTCATTGGTGTCTATAAGCTGTTGGGGAACGATCTTGTGCCTAAAGAAGGCTTGATGGTTTGCTAAGTGTGTATGTGAAAGGCCAGCATTCGACGAAACATAGTACCTGTAACATTATTAGGAACCTTTGAGCGTCTACAAATGGCATTCGGGGCTAATGTTGCCATCCATTTTGGGTCAGCTTCTGCTTGGCCAGCTCCTCGAGCTCGTCAGGGTCTGGTCTTTTGTCATATTTATCATCACGGAAAGTATACCCGCATCCCTTTGTTGACACTTACGAGTGCTGAATTGGGGGACCTGACCATCATTTAGCTTCCAGAAATTTTCACGCTGACAGAGGCCCCATGATGGGGTATCACGATTCTTGATGTGAGGAGAATTGGAGTCGGACATCTTTACTCGTGGGTACCGACACGGAAGTAATGACAAAACAGAAAATAGAGCTCCTCTCCAGAAATGTGGTAACACAAGATGGATGAGATTATTCATCGTGAAAGGCAACTGGCTACGTGCACGCTATGCACTAAGTCTGAATCATCACGGCCGTGACGTAACTTACAGCTCATCACTCAAACTACGCAATAGATTATAGCTCCCACTTAATCCGCCTTTGGTGCTGGTCTCAGTAACCTTTAGCTAACCTGGTGCTTCTGAATCTCATTTCCACCTTATTTCCATAATTCGATATCATGAGTGGGAACGCCTGGCTACCACCACTAGCACTAAGGAAACTACCTAACTCCCCTACCCCACATCCGGGCCACCCCCACATCCAGGCCATTACATCCTAACTATTCTTTCTACTTCTATACTATATTATCCTAGTCTATAAAGATAATAAAATATATATAAGGTAATATAAAGTAAAAAGTCTATATATAGTATAATCTAGCTTAGTAATCTTTTAATATAACTTTAAATAACGTATTTATAATAATAAAAAGTACTATTTTTAGTTTTAATTATTTTAAAGATTTATTTAAGCTTTTAATTTAAATATAAATCTTATATAATACTTAAGTACTAATAGTATATAGTAGGCTTTTTAGTAAGTATATTTAGCTTTATTATAGTAGTAATATAAGCTTTTAAAATATAAAAAGTAAATTTACTTTTTTTCTAGTTTTAAATAGTATTTTTTATAAGTAAAAGTATATAAAGAAGTATATATTAAGTACTATAGTAAAGTATAAATATTATAAAGCTAGTAGAATATAAACTAAAGTATTTTACTATACTTTTTAATATTAAAATAATAAATAAAACTATAGTATTACTTTTTATTATTTACTTTTAGTTTATACTAGTAATATAAACTATTATATAGTAAACCTAGGTTTATATACTTAGTAATACTTAGTATTATATAGTATATATATATTACAGCTAGAGGGGTTACATAGGGGATACATAGACAGGAATAAGGTTATAGCATAGTTTAGTAGCTAGTACGTACTACGCCTTAGTAATAAGTGCGCTATAGCTACAGTAGTCTATACACTACGCCTTAGTAGTAAGTGCGCTATAGCTATAGTAGTCTATACACTACGCCTTAGTAGCTAAGGCCTTAAGCCTTAGTAGTTAGTGCACCTATACCCTAGTGGCTAGTAAGCCTTATAGCACTAAAGGACCTACTAAAAGGTAAAGGATAAGAACCCCTAGTTATAAGAACTATTAGGTAACTTATAAATAGAATAAATAGCTATATAATAGCTAGTAGGACTACTAGCCCCCTAAGGTAGATTTTTTTTTTTTACTTTTAAATTCTTATAATAAGAAATATAGTTATATATCTAACTAATATAGTATTACTACTATAACACTATTTAAAGGTTACCCTTACTTTCTCTAGAGATAGAAGTATAATATCTTAAACCTTTTTTTCCCTACTAGACCCTAGCTTAGCCTCTCCCCCTTACTTTTCTATTTTAGGCTTAGTTATATATTAGCTAACGCTACCCCTAAACTCCTCTATATTTTTCTTTTATTACTAAGATAGCCTAATCTACTAGTAAAGGCAGCCTTTTAGTATTTAACACTAAATTAATAACCCTTACTTAAAACCTTACTTTTAATTAATAAAGTACCTTCCTTCTAAATAATAAAGCTAAAGACCTATAGGAATTTAACTTTATACTTTACCTTTAAGAATTAAGCCTTAAATAATTCCTTACTACTACTAACTAAACTACTTATAGTAAATACTTATAGCGCTATATTAATAGCCTATTTATACTTATTTAGGTTACTAACTAGTCCTTATTTAGTAATAAGAAAAAAAGAGAGTTTACTAAAGAAGTATTTAAGGCCTTATATAAGGAAAATCTAGCTAATCTATATAGTTAGGTATACTACTAACTTACCTTACGTTATACTTAGTAAAACTTAAAGCTTAAATTAAGTTTTATTATAAGCTACTATACTAATAACTTTAAATAACTTTATATCTATATATAAGACGTCTTTATAGTTTAAAAAAAGTAAAAAGATATAGTTAATACCTTAAAGTAGAAGCTTTATAAAGCCTATACTACTAATTTTACTTTAATAGATTAAATTAAGGTTCTTAAGAACTATAATACCTTTAGTAAGACTAGTAGCTTTATAAATAAGGTCCTTAAATAATAAATTACTTACCTAGAAACTTAGTTCTTATAAAAAAACTCTTTTACCTTCTTATTAGCTAATAAGAATACTTACTATTATAAAAGTAAAGCTAAACTACTAGAGATCTTTATTTTTACTAAAATTAAAAATAGTAAGAATAAAAAGAATCTAAAGTTTAACTATTAGATACTATATATTACTTATTACCTAAAGAATTACCTTTAGTAAAGTTAGGACTATTACTTTAAGTATGTTTATAGCTATATTAGTAAAGACACTATAAACTTAGTGTTTCCTCTAATTAGTAAAGTAAACCTTACTATTACTACTACTAAAGATATTATTATAGAACTTATATTTATATATACTAGTCTTACTAAAGTAAATAAGGCTAAAAGTAAACTTAATACCCTTATAATATCTTTTAAGAATATTTACTAAAAAAGATCTAAATTTACTAAATACGCCTAGGTCTTTAGTCTCCCTTAGTTATAGTAAAAGTAATACTTTTATAATAAACTTCTTATTACTTTTTATAATAACCTTATCTAATAGTATATAGACGCCTAGATTAATTTCTAGTAGTATACTAAATATATTATTAAGATTACTTATACTATAGAGCCCCTAGCTGCTACTACTACTAACTAGTTTAGTAAGGCCTATAAGGCTACTACTAGTTATACTACTAATACCTTAGTATTACTTAGTACTTTAAATACTACTAAGTCTACCCCTACTAGTAGATAAACTAATAACTAGGATAGAATCCTTACTACTTTATACTAACACCTCTATAATTTTAATACTTACTTTAGATATAAAGCTACTAACTATATAGCCTATAACTACCCCTATAAGCCTAAGACCTCTATTAATAAGATTAACCTATAGTAACGTATAGAGGACGTTACTAAGGCTAAAGATAAAAAGAAGCTAAAAAATTAGGTTCCTTAGTAAATTCTAACTTCTTACTAAGAACTAATATAAAAGATAATTTAAGGTTATTTATATATTTAATTAATTTATAAAATCTTATTAGAGATAACCCTCTAGAGATAAAGTTAACTATAGCTTTTAATAGATATAGTATTTAACTTTAAGCGCTTCTTAATATAGAAGTAAATAGCTACGCCTTTATAAGTAACTAAGTAACCTCCTTACTAAAGAAATTCTATAATACCTCTTACTAAACTCTACCTAAACTAATACTAGCTATAAGGTTTAATAAAGAATAATTAGATAACGTTTAGTATACTTAGACTATAAACCTATATATTAACTATTAAGTAATCTAATAAACCTTACTATTATAACTTAATACTAGTTACTATAATTTAATCCTTAGTTATATTTAGTTTACCTATTATAAGGTAAACCTAGACGTATACTATAGGTAGCTAGTCTAGCTAGTTAAGTCCTTATAACAGCTTTATCCTCTAATAATTATTAGAGAGATAGAGGACTTATACGCCCTAAAGACTATTAACGTTTAGCACTAAATTAATACTAAACGTTAATAAGAAGTCTTTAAGATTAACTACTAGTAATACTAGTAAAAGATAAAGAAGTAAAGACCTTAATAGATTCTTTAATATACCTATAAAGAAGATTTAAAAGAGAACCTTTATAAAATAAGTAAGGCGCTTAATAGTTCTCCTCTACCTATATACACTACTAAATAGCCTTACTATAAGGCTAGGTCTATATAGTTAGTAATACTATAAAAGTATAATTATTTTATATTTATTAATATAGTATCTTTTAAGATAAATCTAAAAAAATAAGATATTATACTTAGTTTTATTTCCCTTTATAAGCTAGATTAGATAGTTACCTAGAAGAAAAAGGAGCTAGCTAATAACCCCCTATAGGCTAATAACTAGGCTATATATAATTTAGTTAAAACTAACCTCCTTATCTTACTTTATACTTATAAGGATATCTTTAGTAAAGTAATAAGTAACTAGCTTACCCCTTATTACCCTTATAACTATAAGATTAAGCTTATAAAGAGAGAGAAAAAGAAGCTTACCTATTACCTATTATATAAATAATCCTTAGAGGAGCTAGAAGCTATAAGAAAGTACCTCTTAGAGAACTTATAAAAAGGTCAGCTTAAGCTAGAGAACACGCCTTAGGCTGCTTTTATACTATTTATTTAAAAATATAATAGTAGTTTATAATTCTATATAGACTTTTAGAAACTTAATAAACTTATAAAAAAGACTACTATCTTTTTTTATTAATTAATAAAACTTTATTATATATTAGGTAGGTAAAGATTTTTATAAAGATTAATATTTACTAGGTATTAAATAAAATCTAAATACACCTTAACTCTAAAGATCTAATAACCTTTTATACTTACTATAGTATATATAAGTATAAGGTGTTACTTTTTAGCCTATATAACAGCCTAGCTACTTTTTAGTAGTATAAAATAACGTTTTAATAAAGTATCTTAATAACTTCTATACTACTTACTTAGATAATATCCTAATTTTCTCTAAAGACCTTTTATAACACTAAGAGTATATTAAGAAGATCTTTACCTAGCTTTATAAAGCTAGGCTATAAGTAAATATTAAGAAATATAAATTTAAAGTAATAACTACTAAGTACCTTAGGTTTATTATTTTTACTAATAGTATTTATCTTAACCTTAAGAAGATTACTATAATTAAAGATTAAAAGCCCCTAATAACTATTAAGGGAGTCTAATTCTTCTTAAGGTTTTATAATTTTTACTACTAGTTTATTATAAAGTATAGTTATATAGCCTA